CGATGCGGTTGAGTGCTTTGTGCATGTATTGTTTTTCTGTATATATATATATGTATTTTGTGTGTGTGTGTGTGTGTGGTTTATATTTTTGTGTGTGTATGTGTGTTTATGTTTATATGTTTGTGTTAGTTTGTGTTTTCTCACTGTGTTGTGGTTCTCGTGTTCTAAACTTATTGGCTTATCTATCGTCACTACAGACCACTCGTGCGCGGCAAGAATCAATCCTACCAAGCCGCCATCACGGGCTGTGTATCCAGTATGAGGGGTGTTCGCTTCGGAATCACGCGTTCAATGTCCAGCATGATTCGTCCCCAGGCACAGAATGCATCTCGAGGTGCCCCGGTGGGTTTTGGCTCGGGCCGTACCTTTGCAGGAGGACCTATGGCCATGGTTATAGGGGAGAATGGAATGCGGGTCACACGCACCGGACTGGAGACGAATCTTTTCGGTACGTTTGCCTGAAAAATATGGTACCTTAGACAATACCGTTGGTGTCGTACATACGAGTGATACTCAAACACAAGGGTTTTGTTCCCGGGTGCCTATTCAGCTTTGGTTTCCAATGTTTTGAATCGACCTCTCTGTAAAAGTGAGTGCCAGATCAACTCCCTGTCCATCAATTCAAGAAAGTCACTCATTGCTCTCACTCACCTCTACAGATAGTACTTCCATGCGACTATACTGTAGCAAGGCTCGGGCGAAGCCATTTAGCAAGGAAGTGCCAAGTACGGCCGAAAGCATTACCAAGGCAGCAGGCGTAAGTTTTGAAGATTCACATTTCCGTGCTAGAGTACTGCTTTCATTTATTTTATTGCTTACGCTTGGCCCGCGTATGTATGTTCTGCTGTGATAATACCGGCTCTTTGCAGCATTGGATCGTGGTGTGATCTTCCCAGACCCTGTCGCCCTGTGTCGCACGTGTGCCGCGTCTTCTACGTGTCCCTATATGCCGGTAGTGTCTTTAAGTACTGAGGAGTGTGTGCGATGTACTGGGCTCATTGATAGCCACGAACAAAAACGTTCTAGATGGAGTGTGCTTGCGCACCTGTATAGTGTTCAGGCTTATTTGTATTAAAATCTATGTATTCTTCCCTTCACTAATTCTCAGAGCGAAACTGCTGAACCTGCAACAAAGGCACCGAAGCCGTCAATCAAGACGTTGTTTTCATTCGCCAAGCCTGAGGCTGCCAAGCTGGTCGCCGCAGTCGCACTGTTGTTTGTATCGTCAGCCGTGACCGTGAGTGTACCGTATGGAGTGGGAAAGGTCATAGATATGATCGTGGATCCCGAACATGGTGTGTTGAAACGATCTAATCTGGGGTTTGTAAGTTGTTTTGATGGGTTTATAGTATGATAGTGAATCGCAATCAATAATTATGTAGCTGCAAGCAGGTGTATGGATTCATTGTATGCTCGTTATCTGGGTAAACTTGTTTTATCCTTTCTGTGCATGATTGTCATCGAGTGTACAGATTGTTGACGGAGCAAAGGCATGCCAGTAACCATCATTCCTTTCCCTGCTTCTGATAACTGAATTTTTCGTAGAGTTTACCGCATACGAATGTAAAATTTTCACGCCCAAGACACGTTCCAATCCAGAATTTGAAGGCGATTGCGCCTATACCTTAGTTGCAACTGTACGCAAAGGGTGGTCGCTACCACTGCCATTCCTTCATTAGAGCTGCATACTGCCCACCATGCACACACCACAGGTATGGAGAAGCTACGCACACTCTCATGGGCCATTGGTGGGGTCTTTTTGGTCGGAGGCCTCGCCAACTTCGGGCGCGTATATCTCTTCCAGACTTCGTCGCAAAACATTGTCGCTCGGTTGCGCTCTCGCGTATTCCGCTCCATCATGACTCAGGAAACCGCCTTCTTCGATAAAAACCAGAGTGGCGAGTTGGTCAATCGGTTGTCAGCAGACACGCAGCTTGTAGGTAAGCTTTCCTACCCAAACTTATACAAAATATCGTGGTGCGCGCTGTATTCGTTAGCAATACGCAGTCAAGCGTGCTCTCGAATAGATGACGTGTTCATTTTTAGATGGGTAGCCGTATGTTGGATTGGTCAACCATTTTCTGTCCGACTCACACTTGCTTTACTCGTATAGCTCGTATCTCATTCTTCATTAAATAGAGAATGCATCTAACCCATATGTGTGCGTACCGATTTTGGTGTATAGCTTGGCAGCTTACTTGGAATGTGTACTATGCTCGACCACGATTCTCTCGTACGATTTTAGGGTATCTCGATTCATTGGTGCTCCTATTTGTCTTTGTCTACATCTGAATATGTCGAACTGAGATTTACAGAGTAAGGACATAAAAGGACATTCCTCTGTAGGTTTTATTTTTGGCTAAGTGCAGTTCCTGCCTGCTCACTTCGACCGACAGATCGTTTTTTTAGGCATTCGCAAAACTACACCGGGGAGGTACCATATACATAACCCTAAGCAGTTGCACACAGTTACAATGGTCTATCTCCGTAACCGAAATATCAAACCCTCACTTACATATATTCTCGATACGAAAGGTAGACTACTCATATCGCTGCCCTTTTCGACATTACGTCTTCTCTCTCACAACCTTTTTTAATGGTGCAACTTTTGTCACAGGTAAGAGTATCACCGAGAGTATCTCCGACATCCTGCGGAATGTTATTCAAGCGGGTGCGGGAATCGGTATGATGGCTGCTATGTCAATGAAGCTCATGGCCACCGTCACTGGGGTAGTGCCCGTGGTTGGTCTGATGGCTATGGGCTACGGCCGCTATGTCAAGAGTCTCTCCAAACGAGTTCAGGATAGCCTCGCTGAGACCACGCAGGTGTGCGTGTGTGGGAAAAAAAGTTTACATCTTTTGATTTGTGCTGTGCCATATGTGTACAATCCATTATACGCGAGAAGCGGATGACCCCAATTACTGATGAAGTGCCTGTTCCTGGTTCGATGACTATGAGGCATGCGGAAATGACTAAACTCTGTATTCTTAATTGTAGGTAGGACAAGAACGAATTGCGAACATTAGAACCGTCCGAGCCTTCGCGAAGGAAACCGATGAAATGGCTCGCTTCGACTCGAAAGTTAATGACGTGCGGAAGTTGGGTCACACCGAAGCATTGGCCCAGGGGATGTTCTTCGGTTCAACTGGAATGACCGGCAACTTCATTATGCTGGTATGTCTGTACTTATACAGGTAAAGATATCATTCGGCAGATTCAGATGTGTGAGGGAGTACTGAAGCTAGCTATAGGTTCTCAATTAGGCTTAGGTCATTCTGACTCAAGGCCCTGTTTGTTGCGGAGTCAAGTCTGACGTGATGAGTGTCAAATAGTATGTCAGCTTTATATTTTAAAAGCTGGTGCACATAAGTTTCAAAGTACATCACCCCAACCACATCTCCGTGAGCATATGGTCATTATTGCAACACCATACAGTTCACGCCCCTATTGTCGCGTAAAAAGTTGGTTTACGAACGCCCACTCACTAAGTATACAGATGCTTATTGACGACTTCGATGTACTGGCATACACCTTCACAGGGAGTGCTGTGGTATGGCGGTAACATGATGCAAACAGGCGAGCTGACCGTGGGAAACCTTACGTCTTTCCTGCTGTACACGGTATACGTTGCTGGCTCAGTGGTGAACCTTAGCCGATGCTACTCCGATCTAATGAGGGTATGTCGGTAGTCGATTGCATTTCTGCGTGTTATCCTTTGCTATTTATTGTTTGTATGGCTGTGTTCAGAGCGTTCGTACGATTGCCGCTGACTCTGTGGCTAGTTGGCCCTTTACACTATTATTGTCGTGGTAAGAGGTTCGCTCAGTGCATTGCTAAAGTGGTGACATCAGGGCTTAGAAGTCTGCTACCTTCAATGAATCAAACAGTCTGGGGGGTTGCCTGATGCTGCGTGCTATATCATGTCACGTGGTGTGTGATTCACGTGGTCTCTACCCTATCCCCTACCGCACAAGACAACAATGTTCCTATCTTACACCCATAGGGGGCAGGAGCAGGCGAACGGCTGTTCGAATTGCTGCACAGAGATCCTAAGATGAACTTTGAGGGTGGTACTACGATCCCCAAGGAGGAATTCAAGGGCTCATTAGAGTTTGAAAATGTCGATTTTTCGTACGAATCGCGGGGAGATGCTAAAGTGTTCGATGGTCTGAATCTGAGCGTGCCTGCTAATAGTGTACTGGGAGTGGTGGGAGGCAGTGGTAGCGGCAAGAGTACGCTCGGAAGTATACTGTTCAGGTTTGTGAGTTGTTGTACACGGACGTATTCTTGTGTATGTACGTATATATGTGTATATGTATGTATTATGTATGATGTTCTCTTCTAAGTCTGTAAATGTGGAGTATGCAAATCTATGTATGTGTACCGTAATCATGGTTTATGAGATTGATGGGTTGCAATTGTAGTTTCAAGATCATGCGGGCTTTTATTTTTTCCTGTGATACAGTCTGTGTATAAGTCAATGTCGCGTGCCAATGCACTGAAATGCGTGGCTTGGATACAAATTCGTGATTTAAGAGTGGTCGGTTCGGCTTGTACTATACTCAAACGCAATCTGATGATAGATGAATTACTTCGGTGCGCACAATGCTAGTGTATTGCGGCTGCACTACCGTTGTCAACATCATAGCCTATTCGATATATACTCTTGTGCTATACTTGAACACTACTCGATGCCATAGTTATGCGCCGTTTCCATTTCATACTTATCAGGCTAGCTTCACTGATTGCAACCATGCTTCCGTGATTCAATACAAAACCACTTTAGCAAAGTTCACTGCATTCTTGTCTTGTATGCATCTGTACTTGATAGTTTTTGTATTCGTAAAACTGATCCATTAATTTATCCCCATTACAATCAGGCTGTATGACGTTAATTCGGGCACCGTGAAGATTGATGGTCGCGATGTACGTGACCTCGACCCACACTGGCTGCGCTCGCATGTGGGTGTGGTCAGTCAAGAACCCACCTTGTTTAGCGGATCCATCGCCGATAACATTGCGTATGGTTGCGACGATGCGGATGTGAGAGAGATCGGTACGATATATAT